GTACACCAAAACCAAAGTCTTCAAAAGGACTCTGTAGGGCTACTGCATCTGATCCAGGACCGAGACCAAAGCAATATATTCAGATCTTGGGATTTGATTCTGACCCATATGAAATCTGAAAGCTTTTTACTTGCCAAGCTACATTATCTGCTCCCCTTGTCTCGGTTTTCACAGCAGATTCATAGTGATGTATATCATATCTCACATCTGCAGCAGTGAGTTCAGTAACCTTTGCATTACTGGACCGTGGCACTGAGGGTGATGGAAGACCAAGCCCTGGCACTTGGCAGAAACTCAAGAGCTTTAAAAGCTACACATTATCAGAGCAACAAAAAGGAGGTTGTGCTGGGTTATGTCACTTAATTTTCAATTTGCTGAAAAAGGGATCAGGCAAGTCAGAAGGCAGCGTAAAATACATTGATCTGCCAACAGAATAGGATGAAGCAACTTCAAGTGGGTCCAATTAAAAAAAATAAAATAAATCTACACCCCCCCCCGAAAATACCAGCAAGATAATCAGAATCTTTTCTTTCCATGATATATACATTTATGTACCAGATCTTGGCATATGGATAGAATCCTGAGTTGGCTGGTGAAGTTAAAGGCTCTGTTCAGCCAAGCCAGCTCAACTGAATTTTGATAAGCTGGCTCAGATGGGTTTAATGCTCCAGAGTGGAATGGGCTGCATGAGTGCTTTGATACTGGCTGTATTGCAGATGCCATTCTAATTTTCCTGGATGCAGTGGGGATGGAAATAGTAAGATAGACAAAGAAACCCAAATGAGGAGCACCATAAACCAACTACTTTCCCTTCTAATTATGTTGGAAGCAAGGGCAGGTGGCCTGGGAAGAATACAGGGATGTTGTTCGGGAAGCTAGGGACCAGGTTAGGAAAGCTAAGGCTCAGTTAGAATTAAACTTGGCTAGGGATGTTAAGGATAACAGCATGGGATTCTATAGGTACATAGCAAATAAAAAACAGACTAGGGAGAATGTAGGCTCCCTCTGGAAGCTATCGGGAGAACTGGCTACCCTGGATTTGGAGAAGGGTGAGGTTCTGAATGACTTCTTTCCTCGGTCTTCACTGGCAAAGGCTCTGACCAAACCACCCAAGTCTTGGAAGGCAGATGCAGGGACTGTGAGAATGAAGACCTTGGGCCCACTGTAGGAGAGGAACTGGTTCAAGAGCATCTTAAAAATCTGAATGTGCATAAGTCCATGGGTCCTGATGAGATCCATCCATGGGTCCTGAAGGAGCTGGCAAATGAAGTTGCGAAGCCGCTGGCCATCAGATTTGAGAAATCATGGCAGTCGGGTGAAGTTCCCGATGACTGGAAAAAGGGAAATATAACCCCCATTTTCAAGAAGGGGAAAATGGATGACCTGGGGAATTACAGACCAGTCAGTCTCACCTCTGTGCCTGGCAAAATCTTGGAGCAGATTCTCCTGGATGGCATGTTAAGGCACATGAAAAACAGCAAGGTGCTTGGTGACAGCCAGCGTGGCTTCACTAAGGGGAAATCCTGCCTGACCAATTTGGTGGCCTTCTATGATGGGGCTACAAAACTGAGGGACAGGGTAGAGCAGTTGATGTCATCTACGTGGACTTGTGCAAAGCGTTCGACACCGTCCCACATGAAATCCTTGTCTCTAAACTGGGGAGACATCAATTTGATAGGTGGACCACTCAGTGGATAAAGAACTGGCTGGCTGGCCGCACACAAAGAGTTGTGGTCAATGGCTCTATGTCCCACTGGAGACCAGTAACGAGTGGTGTCCCTCAGGGATCGGTGTTGGGACCGGTCTTGTTTAACATCTTTGTCGCTGACATGGACAGTGGGATTGAGTGCGCCCTCAGCAAGTTTGCCAATGACACCAAGCTGTGTGGTTCGGTTGATACGCTGCAGGGAAGGAATGTCATCCAGAGGGACCTTGACATGCTTGTGAGGTGGGCTGATGCCAACCTCATGAAGTTTAACCATGCCAAGTGCCAGGTCCTATACCTGGGTCGGAGCAATCCCAGGCACAGCTGCAGGTTGGGCAGAGAAGAGATTCAGAGCAGCCCTGTGGAGAAGGACTTGGGGATGTTGGTTGATGAGAAAATGAACATGAGCCGGCTTCAGTGTGTGCTTGCAGCCCAGAAAGCCAACCGTATCCTGGGCTGCATGAAAAGGAGCGTGACCAGCAGGTCGAAGGAGGTGATCCTGACCCTCTACTCTGCTCTTATGAGACCTCACCTGGAGTACTGTGTGCAGTTCTGGTGTCCTCAACATAAAAAGGACATGGAACTGTTGGAATAAGTCCAGAGAAGGGCCACGAGGATGATCAGGGGACTGGAGCACCTCCCGTATGAAGACAGGCTGAGAAAGTTGGGCTGTTCAGCCTGGAGAAGAGAAGGCTGCGTGGAGACCTCATAGCAGCCTTCCAGTATCTGAAGGGGGCCTATAGGGATGCTGGGGTTGGACTCTTCATTAGAGACTGTAGTGACAGGACAAGGGGTAATGGGTTAAAACTTAAACAGGGGAAGTTTAGATTGGATATAAGGAAGAAATTCTTTCCTGTTAGGGTGGTGAGGAACTGGAATGGGCTGTCCAGGAAGTTGTGAATGCTCCATCCCTGGCGGTGTTCAAGGCCAGGTTGGACAGAGCCTTGGGTGAGATATTTTAGTGTGAGGTGTCCCTGCCCATGGCAGGAGGGTTAGAACTAGATTATCTTAAGGTCCTTTCCAACTCTAACTGTTCTATGGTTCTATGATTCTATGAATTAGATAAGTTTATGCTTTTGGAGGCAAAAAGGACCTGCATATCCATCTTCATTCTGGTGACCTTGTACACCAGCACCTCTGAGAGCAGAAAACCTCAAAATCTGGAAGTGTAAATTTCATCAGCAAGGACCATCTAGGAAACCTTTTTAACTTATAATCAGGCTAACATTTATTCTCAATGACACAGTAATTACCAAGAAGAGATTCAGATTTCAGTGCCTTATGTGAACCAGCATCCTATGAAGGAGGAGTGGGTGCGATAAAAGATACTGGATGAAATTTTCAAGAATGTGTAGTGGTTTAGAAAAGCACCTTCAGCAGATTTTCAGCAAATCATATTATTTTACACAGTAGATATTCAACTATCTGTAGGCATGTACAGCTGCTAACTGTAATCTTTAGCAGGATTTTTAAAGGTAAGTCATCTTTACAAATTCAGCATGTACTTATTTGAAGCATTAAATTTCTAACTCTGTCAAGAAAGAGGCCTTTTTAGTCTGGAAATATTTCTCTAAAGCACTCTGAAATTTCATGCTAAACATCTGTTTTATCCAACTTCTCCTCAAACTCTGATTTTTCTACTGGAAGCACAAGCTGAAAACATTGTTATTACCATTTCTAGCCATTGAAGTAATTGTTATTTCTGTGTTGAAACATAAATGACAATAATGTACATGATCTCATTTCCTCCTTCAGTTGCAATACTTGGCAATCAGAATAATAATAATAAAAAAGTCTTGAAATGTTAGTGAAGCTTTAACGAAATGATTCCTATCCATTCACTTGTATACCAGTGGTGGTATGTTAGCCTTTTAGCATAGTCCTATTGATATCATGCCTCACTTTCATGATAATCACTGTGCTGGTATTTACTTAATTACTACTTTTATTTAAATTCCAAGTACCCACACTATTTATGCTTCACAATCAAGTATTATTTGGATTACTTTTCTGCCATGTGGGGAGATGAAACACAGGGGAGTCAAGAATACGAGTGGAAGTTCCCAGCTACAGGGCAATGCCAATGTCAGGTTACTGCAGGATCAAGTTCTATCAAAAATGCAGGTACAGCATGAGAAATTGAAAAGAAATATGAAAGCACTAGCCTTGGGTGAATTTTAGTATTATTATTGTATTAACCAAATAGCTTCAGGAAACTAGAAACAGAAGATTGTAATGCTTTTTGGGGATTTTTTTTTTTAAATGTAATCAGCCCAAATAAACCAAAGCAAAATCAAACAAAACAAAGCAAAACAAAAAATCTCCCAACCCTAAACTATTTATACATTTCATGTTTAACAAAAAAATTCTAACCAAATTCCTTCTTTTTCTTTTAAATGTACACAGAAATTCGATGATGTCTGTTCTCTATTATAGAAATGCTTAACTCATGGCAAGCCTCAAAAAAGACGACTTGAAAAAGCCTGTAAGAAATAAAATTGACTGCAGTTGCCTGCTGGATATCACATCATATATCTCACCAGAAAGAAAACCCATCAATTTATCAAAATGTATCTGAAAGGGAGAAGTTGAGTCAGTTCCACATGGCCAGTCCTTCTGACTCTTTAATGGATACATTTTGAAGCATCACTGCAGGTAACAGGGCAAGAATTGCTACTAATTTTGTTATGCTTGAGCTACGTTTTGGTGCTCCCCAATTTCTTTGGGATCACACAAAACAAAATTAGTACAAATACGCTACCATGTTAACTGTAATCAAAATCCCATGGACAAATATATCCTTTTATAGTCCATCTTCAGAGCAATTAACAAAGATTAAAAAATGCTAATAACTCAGTATTGCTTCACATTTGTTTCTCTTCTGTTTTTCAAACATTCACCCTCCCCACTTCATAAATCTTTATTATTTGTCACATGTCACATTGGTATTTTTTGTTTCCCACTGTGTCAGTGAAGTAACTAGTACAAACATGTGAACTATTAATTAGCTGGGATCACTTTCAGGAAGTTTGGCTTTCCATGCAAACAACTTCATATTAACAACATAGTGACCACATATCTGTGTTTTGCTGTTGCCAAGTCCATGGGATCTGATGCTTGGCTGTATAATTTTTATTTTATATACAGTGTATATATACATACATGTATATATATACACATATACACACATATATATACATATATAGTTATATATGTATACATTCACACACATATAAATATATGTATCCATTGTTTCTTGCAAATTAAATCAGAAAGCAAGCAAAACAAGACTGACCTGACTTACCTGTACTGGGCTCACAGTCGATGAAATCCTCATCATCACTGGAACACTCAGCCGATGAAACAATGTCATCTGTTGTCTGGCATGTGAAGGAAAGGAATGGAGGAAACAGAACAGAGAGAAAAAATCTGAGATACTTGCAAGTCAAGAGGCTGGTACAGAGAAAGCTAAGTACCCTAGAAAAAAAAAAATTCAGAATTTCAGAACTTTAAAAATATTTGTACCAAGCATTCTAGATATGCCTGTGTAAATGTGCCCTCCACAGAGCTGGAATCTCCTGTTGGAGCAATAGTACTTATCCTGTTGAGTATTTCAGGTGTGCTAGGGTGTGGTGTGCCCTGCCAGGCTGTTTAGTTTAGCAGGTGGACCATGCTGTGCTGTTGAACACAGTAAGTACAGTAGGCTATGACACCTGCTTGGCTGGCAAACTGTCCTCCCACAGCCAAAGTATATGAGTCTGGGTGGAACATGCTGGGCTCCTCGACAAACACCAGTACCACGTAGGGCCAGCCAGAAGGCACTTACTGAGAGACTTACCATATGAGGCATGCTCAAGCTGAACATGCTTTCTGCAAAGAAAAACAGACTCAGATAATATGCATCATGCAGGCAGCTAGCAGTACTCTTTACTGTGTTGCTAGATGCATCATTCTGGGGCAGAGATAGTTCCTACTCTCCTAATGCACCTCTTCTTGGGCTGTGAATCCTTTATGTTTACCCACATAGTAAATATCTGTGCAAACAATTTGTTGCACGATGAAGAACTGCTGCATGTGTCAGGTATGCCCAACATGCAACCTTGACAAGTGAACAGGGAAGTGGCTATGACAGGGCTGACAGGCTGGAAAACCTGATTTGGCAGCTGGTGATATTTTACTACTTTTTTTTTTCTTTTTTTTTTTTAATTTTTATTTTTCCTGCTGGTCTAATTAATGAGCAGCATGTACTGCAGCATGCTAGAGAGAAGTGCACCGGCATCTCTTCCCAGCAGCATGTCCTGCTTTTAATTGCTGCAATTAGCTGAATTAGTAATGCAGACCATTAGGGACAGTCTATGGCAGCCTCTGGACACAGGTTGTAATGCTCCTGCAAACAATACAAAATTAGCCCAGCTCAGCAGCCTGGGCTCAAGCCATGGCTTCTGCCGAAATTGTCTCCCTTAACAACTTTTCCTTGCACAGAGCTGCCTATTCTGCTGAGCAGTAGGATCAGAGGTATGACTCCTGAAACAAAGCAACTAAAATGTTCCTCAGCATGCAGGAAGCACTGCTGAAATCTCCTCAGGAGCAGGGCAGCTGTACCTCTGTACACTGTACCTTAGGACTCTAAATAGACTTTCCAGCCTTAAATAAGGTCTCCTTTACATCCCTATGTCTGCTATGGCTGTCTCCAACATGCTCCCTCTTCTCTTTGTGTAAGTGTTCTGAGGTCTCAGCCTTTTCTTCCTGTGGACCTAGTGATATCAAGTCCCTCTGTCCCCTGCCAGAAGTTCCTTGCTCTCTCCTCTCTGTATTCTGAAGAAAACCAGAATGGAACAGTCAGCCAGAAAGATCAGATTGAACCTAGCATTCCTTCACTCCTGATTCAGTGGCTTAGAATGAACCAAGAAAGAAAAAACAAGATCAGCAAACTGGCTTTAAAAGTTTATCTGTTCAGTGAGAGGTAAAGAAAGGAGGAATGCATAAAATAGAAGTTTATTTTCTACAATTCTTCTGGACCTGTAATGTATATTTTATAAAGCCTTATTTATTCCAAAGGACACCAAATCACTTTATAATTTATACAAACAGTGATCACATCCTCCAACAGTGAAATGCAGCTGCCCCTGGGTAGAAAGATACTAGTTTTTAATTGCAGCACTGTAATTTAGCCCAATAAGTCAACAAAACTATACTGCAAGAAGCATTTTAAGCAGGTGAAATGTAGCTAGTAAAACCAGACATTTATATTACAGTTGTCTAAAGTACTTGTAAAAGGGTAATTGGTTTTGATTTCCATGTTGAATTTAGAACATATGAATTTTGCTCCTAGTTGAAGATCTGACAATTCACATGTAAGGTCTCATAGAATAGTGATGATTTGCTTCAGGCAGGAAATAAACATAAAAATTGTAACAATGTGTGGTTGTCACTTATCAACTGCTATACTTATCCACTTCCACATTTGCTTACAAAATGATAGAATCATAGCTTCACAGAATAATTTGGGGTGGAAGGGACCTTAAAGATCATCTAGTTCCAACCCCCCTGCCATGGGAAGGGACACATTCCAGTAGAACAGGTTGCTCAAAGCCCTATCCAACCTGATCTTGAATACTGCCAGGGATGGGGCAGCCACAGCTGCTTCTCTGGGCAACTGCTTCCAGTGCCTTACCACTCTCACAGGGCTTTAGGCAATATTAACCTGGAATCAGCTCCAATAGAATTGATAATATGATTCAGCATTTGTAAAGAATACGGAATTCCTTTATGAGTCTTTTTTTTTGTTTTTTTTTCTCCTCTTGCTCATTAGGGGCATCATAAGAAACCAGCGAGGTAGCATGCCCACAAAAAAAAACCAAAAACAACAGAAAACAAAGGTTTAGGTGTATTTTGGAAATGATCAGCCAAATTAAAGGTAAAAACATTCATCCAGAACTATTAAATACTCTAGCTTGGGAAGTCCCTGTCCCACAGACACTGAAGAAAAAGTTATCACGATTTCCATTGTCTTGATCAGGACTCCCTGATTTTCTGCGCATAGCAAGGGCTAGCTGCAGGGTGCTGGGTTTGGTGAGCTTCTGTGGCCTTCCAGCTGCTCTCACAGATCCTGAACATGGGGGATGAAGAATTTTGAAGCCAAAATTAATTCTGAGCAGGAGCTGAAAAGTCATGAAGACTGGTCCTTGTTTATCTTCTTGATCAGTTTCCCATCTAATTATATTCCCATCTAATTCCATTTTAGGACAGCACATGCAACATGTTTATGCTGCATTCTTAGATATATGTTCTAAATTTCCTTCTGTAAAATCCTCATGCAGCTTGTGTTGGTTCTGAACAAAGGAGGACACAGTGAGCCAGACTTGGACAAAATGCAAATGCGTGATGTGCGATACTCATCAACCCTGCCAACTCTGACCCTTATCTGCACTTTTTCGTGACTAGTTCCAACCCGATTCTATCAATTAATCTCTGACCTTTTCTCCCATCTCCATTGCAGGCTATTTTTCCTGATATTCCAGTTTCTCTTGATCTGTGATTGCTGTTTATCCCATGCTGCTGATTTCATATGTATAAAAATGAGGGTTCAAAAAGAGAAAAACCTCCAGAAGTGGTGGTAGACTTAAGACAAGGTCATTAACGAGATCTCTAGAAACCACAGAAAAGATAAATACACTGATCTGTCTTGCCACTTCCTATCTTGTATTTTTGATCTCGGTACTTTCCATCACAATTCATCACTAACTGATTTTCTACTCCCATCACGTACTGGTTTTCCATGCACCTTATGCTCAGAATCAACATCTGAATCATCCTGGAGGAATAAAGCTATTTCAGTGAGAATCACCAGCAAATTCCTGACCACAGAAACCTCCAAAAGACCATAACTTCTTGTAACTGGAATCTGTACCTTTCAAAACCCTCCTGGAGCTAAGAATTTTTAACAGATGATTATTGACCTTGCTGCTTCCACAAGACAGGAGAGGCTAGTGAGCAGAGATGCTAGAAATCTCTCCACTAAGACCATTCTCATCAGAAATGGCTCACCCTGTGAGGCAGCAAGCAAAACCAGCTATTCTGTTTCTGGTTCCCTTTCCCCATTTTTGAAATGGGGTTGATTATACTCACCCGTTGCCCCCAGGGGATGTAAACAGATTAATTCTTTAATGTCTGCCCAGTGATCTAGAAACGGTAAATGCTAAACAGGCACCATGACAATAAAAAAACTTCTCCATATACTATGATGGAAATGATGTTTGTGTTTTCATTGGAAAGAACTTGAGAGAGAAAATATTTTTCTATTCCATGTATTAGCTAAACTCTATATTAAAAATAATAATTCATACCATACTATTTTAAAATATGTATTTCATTTTTAAAGAATCCCAGCTTTGAAATTACTTGGCCCTGTATTAAAGGACATAAAACTAAAGATAGGTATTATAATAACTTCCAATAAAATCTCTCTCTGGCAGGAACCCTTTTTATTCCTTCCTCTGAAAGATTTCTTATGGCATTTATATTATTTTTTTTTTCTCTCCCTCTCTCCAGTGTTTAATGAAATTGCCTTGGAACAAAACCAGGGTAGGAGAAAGTGCTAAACTCTGAGTCCACCCTGGAGGATTTATGGGCATATTTACCTCCAAATTCTTTCAATTTCACTGAATTGGCTCCCTATTCCTTTCCATGAATTATTAGCTCTGTAATCACCTCCTCCCAATTATTCACTCTAGGAGCCTCTTCAATCTTGCCACGGTGATGGTTCTACATCTTTGTTCATTATACTGTACATACTGGTGTGGGATATAAAGCACAAGGAAAGTTGGGATGGCATGGCAAGACCTGCTCAAGATGACTCCATTTCTGTCCAATCTTCCAAGTGCTCAAAACCCTAATTTATGTGTCAGATCCACAGCCTTTGCCCCTTTGTTATACACATAGTGGCAGGTGCTGAATCTTCCTTTTCCCAAATGCAAAACTTTTCTTTTTGACACCTTGCTCTTTGGGTTTACCATTATTTAAAGATACAAGGTCATTAATGAGATCTCTAGAAACCACGGAAAAGATAAGTACACTAATCTGTCTTGCCACTTCCTATCTTGTATTTTTGATCTCAGTGCTTTCCATCACAATTTATCACTAACTGATTTTCTAGTCCCATCAAGCACACAGGGTAAAATAAGTCCTGTCACAGAACAGCTTTATGAAATTATAAATAATGCACCCAAGAATGATGGAGTTCTCATTTCTAGTGGGAGAGAAAAGACATGGATGCATAAATTCAAACCCCAGACAAGTTCCTTCAAAAGTACATACTTGGTAGTTGCTTCACTTGGTAAAGTAGGATAGCCTTTTGCTTGAAACTCATCTTCACACTGTA